TATGTAGTATAGGTACCTATTTTTTATTAGGATGTAGAAAAGTTTTTTGCATTTTATATGAAAAGTGAAGACATTTTATTCCATTACGTAGGTAATTTTGTGAATTACTTCTAGGTTCAAGCTAAAGTTGCGGCATATTCAGAAACACAATGTGCTTCAAATGAGATTTTTTATTGAAAAAATAGATCACAAAATGTTATAATTACCCATAAGAATTATAATTATTATTCTTGTTATTTGTTTTGTTTCTTCTTGTTTTTCCTTTTTTATTTTATCGTATTATTCTCGGCGAGTTCGAATCTATTTTAAAAACTAAAGACTGTCCCGTGGTGCCCATGTTAGCTATTAGAGTCATAGAAATAGTATTTTTTTCTATAATGGAGTGCTAACCTAGTGATACCACTACCACAGCCATTAGGGCGACGAAGCTCAGTTGCGACGTTACAAAAAACAAACAAACATATGCACTTTGCTATTCATAATCCTATTTTTATACTATATAATAAAAATAAATGTGTCGGAATAATATTTGTTGTTCTCTGATTTTAATAATAACTGTATAATTTAACACTCTGTAGTTAAGTGTACTACCAGTTAATATAATGCATTAGTTACATTGAGTAATTGTGGTAATAAAGAGAAATAAAATGGATATTTAGCTCTCCGTTCTCGATTGATTATTTATATACATACCTACAAGCTGACCCGCCATTACACGTATCGCAGCTAACGGATACTAATTAGCATAATAATAGGGGTTAAATTATGAAATTGCCGATTTGTACTGAAAATCAAAATTGTTTATTTTTGAACAAATTTATTTAATCAAAATAGTTACCATTATTATCTATACATTGCTGCACAGAACACAGAAAGACGTTAGAAGGGCCTTGTGGGCGTGGCAGTGCAGCCACGATCCTAGACAAATGTACAGGATCGTGACTTCACCACGCGATCGCGATGTTTAGTCATTCACGAACGCGCGCGCTGTAAGTACTGTGAAACACGCCACTAAAAGTGTTAAAAATGCCGACTTTCGCAGTTATTAATTGCAAAACAAGAAGCCCATCCTCAAGTTGGTCCAAAGGAAGGATTTCTTTCCATTATTAAGTAGAATACTTCTCAAATTTAGTATTTTTAGTCGAAAATCGTGAAATGTTATCAAAAGTGTGAATCACAAAAAATATTTCCTAGAAAATATACATTGCTGGAGAAGTGCGCATATTTATTACATTGCGTCGTACTAAGCACGTAATGTAATGAATATCGCGAAATTACCGTTTTAAATAACAACATAATAGATTACGGTAGATGGGTAGTGAAGTGCCTGGAAACATGTTATCGATTTTTGGTATGTTAGGTAGTAAAAACTTAATAAAAGTATGGACAATAAAAATAGTGGTAATAAAAAATAAATTTTATCAGAGATTAACCATATTGACTTCGTCTGGAATGCGTTTGTATATTAATTTAATAATGAGTGTGGTAATAAGTCTGTTTTTTATATTCTTAATATTGAAACAGAAAACTAGTTTTTTTATTTTGAATCATTAACAACAATACTTTTTAAATCATCGGAGTCTGTTCAGGATAAGTTCCAATAGCATTTATTGTACTGATAGTATTTTTTTATTTTGTATATAATTATTTACACTATATTGTTTGTCAATATTACTAGTTTCATTTAAGCGATGTTGTCGATCCTATCTGTTTACTTGATACGAAATCGAGTAACGTAAAGTAAACCTACTATTATTATTAATAATTATATGCATATATTTAAGCTCGACTAGTACCGATTCAATGTTAGTTCATTAGTAATTTTAATATTTCTTATTGAATCAACCAACTAATTAAGAATTTATATCTAAAGAAAAAAGATAATGTCTCATTTAATCAATACAATTCAATGTATATCCAATATAATATAGAGAAATCATTAATCTAGTATCCTTTCAATTAATCGACTTGTTGTTTTTCAATATCGATAGTAAATAACTTTATGTCAATCACTAGTGTGATATGTCAAATTGCGCACTATAGATGTCTGTTATGGTTGAGCGTGATTGGTTATAGTTATATTGGAGCGTTCTGATTGGCATGTTTAAAATACAAGTGTGTGCATATCTTTTGTATAATTGGTCTAATTATTCGTCTGATGTACGGCGGACTAAAAGTGGGGCAAGACTGGCTACATCGGTTTTCGTACAAAGGATGCACGATCGCCTTTCTAACCTCTTTTCCGTGTTCTGTGCATTGCTGCCATCTAATAGGGAGGTCATTTATGCGATAGAACTCTGAGGATCTAGACTGCACAAACTGTGTGAAAGCATTTTGTACTGCCTCCTGGGAAGAAAACTTCATTTCGTGTAAATAATTGTCCAAATCACGAAAAAAAATGCTAGTCCGTTGGAGCAAGGTCTGGCGAAGACGGAGTTTCTACCTACAGTTCCTGAAGGGTCAAAACGGTTTCTCGTGCTGTATGAGGTCTCGCGGTGTCATGGAAAAATAATGGTGAAGATCGACTCATGAGTCGGGGCTGTTTTACTGCTAGTTTTACCAACATTGTTCGGAGTTCGGCACAATAGACATCTGCCGTTATTGCTTGATCAAATCGGAGAAAACTATAGTGAATAACACCATGCTGAGACCACCAAACAGTTACCATTACCTTTTTATTGGTTAGTTTTACTTTAGGACACTGTTGTGGCGTTTGACCTGGGCTCAGCCATTGCATTTTTCTTTTACGGTTATCTTAAAGTATACACTTTTCATGGCTTATCCAGGTTCTAAAAATATATAAGATAGATAATAGACTAATAAAATTCCTGCAGCATACAATGTAAAACTGGAAAACCGTACTCAACATTAGCACATAAACCGGAACCGTTAAATCCAACCCTATAAACGCCCTCAGTCCGCAATGGTTTTGTCTCTCGTTAAACCCATTATCAAGAATATAAAAAAGGATAAATCACGGATACACAATACACAAGGAAACCAATACTAAAATAACTCATTTATTGTACATAGATGTTACAGATCCATATATGTTACAAACCAACACAACTTCTTAATAGATAAAATGGAAATAATTTAAATACATATAAATATTTAGGATATTCACAAAGTATAGGATTAGATCATACTAAAATAAAAGAGGAATTAACTAAAAAATACACAGATAGGCTTAACAGAATACCCAAGACAGAATTCTCAGGAAGGAATACAATACAGCTTGAGAAAAAAAACAATATACTAAAAGACGGCCTCCACGCTGGCCCAATGCGGATTGGAGGGTGTAATGGATATATTAAATAAAAGTGTAAATTATGATACATATTCATGATCTGGAAAGGAAATGATTTTTGACTTGATCGCAAAATGATTTCAGCGAGCGAGTTTTCCTCATGGTTTCTGGCAAAGAGTTCCACAGTCGAACAGCGTGCACAGAGAAGGAATAAAAGCAGAAGTCAGTTGTGTGGTGGGGAAATTTTAGGGTAAGATTGAAAGAGGATCTCAATGAAAAATGGGAAGGAGAGTGGTGAAAAGAAAACCATTGTTTTGGGTAAATGGCAGAAAAAGAATAGAATAAAGAGCCGTTACAGTGTGCAAGTCCATGTGCTGGCGAATTTAGAGTGGAATTAAGACACGTGGTCGAATTTACGAAGGTTAAAAATAAATCTGATGCAGGCATTCTGCAGACGCTCTAATTTAGTGAAAAGTTCCTAAGTTCCAAGATAGTGATGAGCCCCTCACTCGTGAGGTGCCTCGTTTGAGTTCCTCATTTCGACAAAATGAGGGAATACTCGTTTTTCAATTTTGAACCACCTCATTAAATGAGGTGGTGGACTTTTTGAGTGAAGAGCTAAATAGCGAGTTGTTTCGAATGAAAAGGCGACTCGATACATACTCAATATATTCAAGATTGAGGGAATGGGTTAAGTTTTATGAGTTTTTTGGAACGATTCAGGTTAGTTTATGTGTTTCTTCGCAAATACGTATTTAATATTTTATAGATAAATGATATTAATTAGTCTAAGTAAAAACCAAAGTTAATAAAAATGTATCGGTTTTATTTAGAAATATATTTATATGATTCGAAATATAAATGATTGATTTTAAAAATGGAACATTAAGCACTATTGCAAATAAGTTGCGTGTTGTGGTCATTCTGTTAAATAATAATCTAATAAAGTTTATTTCTTAGAATCTAAAGTCAAAATATGTTTTGTTTAGCATTATTACCGACTCCCTCCCTCATTGTACCAAACGGCAATGTTGCACGCGCCTCGCTACGTACTCATTCACTGCTACTATAACATTACCTATCCTCACCTCAAATGAGTGGTAACTCACGAGCTCCTCACGAGGAAAAATGAGGTCCTCACTCATCCTCATTAAAAAAGAGTGAGTAACACAACGCTATTCCAAGACTCTGTGTAACAAACATCAGCGTAATCAATAATGGACGAGTGACTTTAGTACTGGTTGGCAAAAAATTACGTAAACGATTCAGAGAGTCATACGCCGCAAACACCTTTTTCCTTACAATCTCTACCTGGGGTTTCCAGGAAAGATTGCGTTCAAAGACGACGCCAAGATTTTTGACAGTTTCGGCATATGCAATAATAGTACCATCAAGAATTACAGCAGGAAGTTGGTCAAAAACGATCCTAGAAATAAATGAGGACTACCCATTATTATGACTCAAGACTTGGAAGGGTTAACGGTCAAACCGTATGATTTACTCCAACTACTAATAATCGATAGGTTTGAGTTAATCACAGATGCTACTTCTGGGAGTTGCAGAAACGGTGCCTGAGTGTATATCTGTAAATTCTTTACCCGATTTTATGAGTTCGAGTTTAAGTGATCTTTTCTATATTAATATTCGGTAATCGATATACAAATATTTATCGGTACTTCGATATATCGATTCTCCCTATTTGACGTTTTGCCGTCTTCTTGACGTTTCACTTGTAAACATAACCTATAAAGCTTTTTGTTGAACATAAATATTAAAATTATTATATTAAATGTAATGAAATTAATAAACAAATAATGCGATTAGTAAGGAAAGCATTGAATTGGTATGCACGACTTGCGCCAAGCCGTGGAAAAGTTTCTCCACCATATGAACATGTCGTACAGATAGGAGATCCAACATTACGTAAAGTTTCTGAAGATGTGCCCTTAGATAAACTAAGTTCCCAGGAAGTGCAACAAGTTATTAAGAAATTGCAATTTGTGCTTAGTAAATACGGAAGTGTCGGCATGTCTGCACCACAAATAGGTATAAATTTGAGGATATTTGCCATACAATACACCTCGAAACAATTAGATGCTACACCAAGCAAAGCCATCAAATCTACGGGAATGTCTACAATACCATTTACTGTGAGTGATCAACCTACAATTCACAACTTTTAAACAGACAACTTTTGTGTTTGTATGACTCATATACTGCTTTGAACTTCAGATCAATCAATTATTTAAACAGAAAGCAAAATAAATTCAAGGCACACAATCTTAAACAGTAGCTTCATTTTTAAAAATATAAATTCACATCGCCATTTAAAGATTTCTATATTTTGTCAAATCAAAATATAAAGTATATTTAGATAAACAAAATTTTAAATGGATTTCTCTAGATTTCAAATACTAAAATGATTGAGAATTAAGACTGTGTTTGCCAACAACATATTCTCTCATGTATTATAAGAGTTAAAATTATAAATACTACATTTATCTTATAAGTGCTATTACACTTATGTTCAACTTGCATCTTAGGTGTTCATAAATCCAAAATTGAAAGTGCTCGACTACCAAAAGCTAGTACACCAGGAAGGATGTGAAAGTGTGCAAGGATATTCTGCTGAGGTAGCTCGCTTTAAGGAGATTGAGATCACAGGTCGTTAAATAAAATATTTTATACCCATTTTCTTAATATATCTTTTGCATAAGTTCAATAATTAATAGTTGTTTATTTCATTATTTTTATATAGCTCACAACGAAAAAGGGGAGATTATCTCAACAAAATTTAAAAATTGGCCAGCTAGGATAGTTCAGCATGAAATAGATCATCTAAATGGCAAATTGTTCACAGACATCATGGACAGAAAAACATTAATATGCTCTTGTTGGGAAGAAGTGAATCTATCTAAGGGAAAGGTTGTTATTCCGTTTTATCCTGATTAAATTAGTATTAAATTAAATTAGCAAAACACTGGATTCTGGAATCCACAAGGGCAACGCCATTAATGGAAAAGAAGGAGAAGATGAAATTAGTAAAAATCATTTTATTTTAAGCTGTTTATTTTTCTTCTATAAGCCCTGCTTTAAATATTACACTTCGAACTGTCTTTTCCAATAAATATTTAAAACATACATATGATAATATTCAACAAAAGATTTGTTACAGTTATTTATTATTATATAAACAGCCAGTTGCACAAACGTCCATTAAAATTTTAAGTTTAAAGTAACATTAGCCATACAAATTTGACATTCATTAGAGCGTAAAGGCGTCATTAAACCTTAATGGATGTTTGTGCAACCAACCGAAAAAGACTTTAAATTACTTTTAACTTTGTAAAAATAACTTTCTACAATTCACTGATGTAGAATGAAATAAAAATTTTAATGCCAAATTTTTTTACTCGTAATCACAATACAATATAAGTCCTATAAAGATTTAAAATTTTTATTTCTTTCCTTGATCTTTTTCCGCAAACTGAGTTGACAGTTTAGCTAAACAGAGATAATAGAAATAAATCTCATCTCTCTGTGTAAATTCAAGTAGTGGGTGCTGATAGTATAGCTGCAATTTTTGATATTTCATTGTTTATTATAAACTACTAACTAAATATACATATACATTGCATTTAATTGATAAATATAGCTTAACTATGTATATATCTCGATTAAATGAGAGATTTAGCAATTAATGAAAAGAATTTATGTGCATATACAAAAAGAGTGCATGCCATTATTAGCATTTCTGAAACAATTTCAGATGTTTAAAAGGTTTTAATTGGTCATGTATTTGCTTCATAACAATAAAAAATATATTTATTGTAGTTAAGTTACAGATATGGGTGTTTTGAAAGTACTTCCTATTTTCACATTAAACTGATACTAAATTACCTATTATTTTAATTTAATATTTCTGAAGCATCGCTTTTCTATAAGTGCATTGCAGACTCTTGACATGTATTGCAGAATTATATCCTTCATCAGCATTGTTCTTGAAAAGTTTTATTTACCTGAAGAAATAATTAATATTTTTTTGTTTTTCCAAATACATACTTATTGTTATTATCAAATTTTCTAAACTAAAATTAGAATCATGATAATAATTTTATTTAGGTCAGTTTAATATTATTGAATAGCTTTATTAACAGAGCAGTTATATTTAAGGTACAAGAGTACATACAGAAAACTTGCAGGGTTTCGAAAGATTCTAAATGGATTTGACTAATGTTTACTCGGTCCTAGGTTGATTCACATGTAATAGAAGGTGGTGGGGATAGAATGGTGGGTGGTTACCGTAGGGGGTTTCCTAGTGAGGAGAGGCTGGTGAGCGAGGAGGGCCCGGTGAGGCGGTCGTCGTCGTCGGCCTGGTTGTGCTTCAGTTCCTGCAGCGTGTACACCAGCTTGCTCCACTCGTCATGCCGTGGCTGGGCCATGTGCTTACAATACGAAATATAAATAATAATATTATAACAACAAATATATATTATGAAGATTATAACGTAGTACAAAAAAAAATTAAGTAACAACAAGCGTGCGCTTGTCGTAACGTCACAATCTGCGAGTAGATTGATAAATAGATCAAATTGATTTTTTGAATGTAATGGATTTTTAACAAATTTTTCAAATAATTTTAAATAACGGGTGGAACAAAAGTCATAAAGAAGCCGAAATGTTTATATTAAAAAAAAACAAGTTATTTTTGTAAATAAAGCCTCAAAATCATAACGCACAATGTATGTCGCGCGCAGCTGTGCCGCTGTGGGGCACGCCGAGTGCATAGTACGTACTCTGCGAAGTGCATTGACTTGCGAGAACTCATAGGTAGTATTATCCTATACTCTTAGTTAAATTCATTTAAAACTAAATTCTGTCATCTGATCACGTTCATGTAATAAATTAGGCACTTCAACAGTTAATTGCATAAAGGTCTTTATGATTTAATTACGACTTCAAGCTCTATGAATTTTACGAATTGATGTAAAAACAGACCTAAGTTAAATGTTATGTTTTACAATTATTACATAAACCGTTTCATTGTATTTGAATTTTGACTAGCTATCTAAGTAGGTAATCAGGAATTGCGATGCCTTCGTGAGCAGTATCGTTGTTCGAAATTGCTCCAATTTTTGTCGGTAGTGACTCTAAACAAATGACAAATGTAATTAAATGTTTGTGCAACTGGTTGTGTAAACTATGGACAGTAAAAAGCTAGATTTCATTCGTCCTGGCTCCCTTGTAGGTATCAGCTGTACGGCTGGAGTTCAATGACCTCTTACGATTTGATGAAATTAATAGAAAAAACCGACTTCAGTTATGTTTTAGAACTGTTACATAAATCAATCATTCAATTGGCGATTTATAATTCAATAAGTAGGTAATCAGGAATTGCGATGCCTTTAATAGAGACACACGCAGACATGTTTGTCCGGAACATCCCGTTGCTACTTTTAATGTCAGTTCAAACAAGTTTCCAAACTAAAATGTTATTAAATACTCACATACTATTCTCCTCATATAACTACATGAACTCAATGTTAAAGCCAAGATACTTTTTATTCAAAAATAAGCACAAACACCATTTATATTCACTACGCTGAAAAGTGTGTCTAAAAAAACGGCGGTACGGACCTCACGCATAATAAGTACGATCGCCTGACCTTACACCACTCTATTTCTTTCTGTGGGGTTACGTTAAAGTTAGGGTTTTCAATTGTGCTTGCGAAACCGCCGATGAAATGCGCCGGAAGATCATCGCAGTATTTGAGGACCTCAAACAGCGGGTTGTGCGAGAGGGAATGCTAGAGCGTGTGCATCAGGACATCTTGGACCGTGCTCGCATGCATCTCCATGTGGAAGGTCGCCAATTTGAATCACACCTGCACGCGTAACATGACGAACTCGAGAACGTTTTGTCTACACTCTAATGTCAGTGCGGTCATACAACATCTCACTCTCGATCCGAGAAAATGACGTTTGGGCGTAGACAAAGCGTTTCTCGAGTCATGCTACACGTGCTGGTTTGTTTGGAAAGGCCACTGGGTGATGTCAACGAACAATAGGTAAGTACGTTCCTACATAGACTGCTGACAATGTTATCATGTAATTCATTCATAATCATGTAACTCGTCATTTCACGATAATTTACTCAGAATTGTTTTGCGCGTTACATTGCGCGCTGCAAATTATTTTTTTGTTAACGTCAAAAAATTTATGGCGTATCCCAGTAATTTTTTTGTTATGATACTTATTTTTGTGTATGGAATACACAGTTATCGGCTTCGTTATGATTTTTGTTCCACCATGTATAATCCGTAGTTTAATTTGCTACATAAAGCATACAAAATTCTGTAGCAGTAATCTGCTACAAAAAATTTCATCATACAGGTAAAAAATATATAAATCTGTTGTTGCCGGTTCAAAGGTCTTTTGTATTTTTTATTGTGGAGGCTAAACAAATCTTTTTCAACGTTAGGAAATCTGTGGTTATAGAGTCTTAATAATGTTTGAACATTATATTTTAATAATAAAGTCGAATGGGCGACCACTAGTTGGTATAAACAGTAGATTCTCACCTCGGCCAGTTCGTAGACCCATATCTTGCCGGCGTCGTCCCCGGCGGTGACGTGCGTGCCGCCCGGAGTCCACGACACGCGGTTGAACGCCACGCCGCCCTCCGCCTGGATGCTGGCCACGGGCACCTGGTACCGATATTGCTTTGTCATATATATGCGTCACGATAAATATCATTATATACCAATAGCCAACAAAATATAAAATACCCGCTAGAACACATAGCCGAAATACTCATAGTCTGTTTCTAGCATCAAGATGTAGACCAGATGCTGGTAAGAGATATTCAGCATTTCAATTAGTTCCGCAACAAATATCCGCAAGTAGCCCTTGTAATTTCTAAACAAATATTTTATGTAAATTAAATGTTGTTACGGAGCGCAGCGGCGCGGTTCGTCTACCCATTATTAGGTGGCGTTATGCGCCAATGAATCGCATTAAACACTGGAAAAGTAAGTGTCGCATAGCTATTCTAGAACTTTTTGGTAACGCCTCGAATACACCGGCACGGCCGAGGAAACACCTAAAATGTTCTATGTCCTAATCTAGAACATTCTAGGTGAGGTATCAGCCCCTTTAGAAACGCGGTAGATTACTCGTCCCGGCATTCTACTTGTAGTATCAACAATGAACAAGCGATTTGAAACCAAAAGCGACTTTCCGAGAGCTAAAGCGGTGAACGATCTAATAATGTTGTGAAGTGTTATGAGTGAAATGAATGAATTAAGTTAAAGTGTGAATTGTGTAGTTGGATTATTTTTGTATAATTCAAAGTAGTTTTTTAATTCGAAAAATCTTGTTCAACAAGTACGAAAAGTTATTGAAACATCTATAAATACTACATGCGATTTTTTTCTGTATTTTATTAAAAATCACATATTTGTACAGAAATAAAGTAGTAATTTTTTTTTATGTCTATTATTTAAAGCTATTGTGAAAATATTCAATCACCAAATTTCAAAATTTGGAGTGTAGATATAGTTAACAGTTTGAAAAATACAATTATATAATCATTTTATTTGAATAAATACATGATTCACAGTTGCCACGTTTTAACTAATCTTTTTGGCTGAAATTCTTCCAAACGATGAAATCTTTAAAAATTTTCATCTCAATATATAACCAATAATTGTTGTATTATAAAATCCCTGCTGTTTTCTTGGTACTGTGTTCTATGCATTTCCTAAAATACCAATATCGCTCGAAAGATGATCGCTCGAGCAATGATAGCCTTCTTCGTAGGGCTATTGCTTATAGCCCTTCGTATGAAGGCTATCATCGCTCGAGCTGGCATATTATTCTTTTACTATGTCACAGTGCAGCAGTATTGATAGACAAAGTTTGTGTAAGAAATCATTAGATTGAAGAAAACTATTTATTTTTATATTTTTAGAATACATTGATACTAAATTAAAAAATAATTATTACACTTGATCAATTTTGCATTCACAATGCTTTACTGGAACATGTTTAAAAAATAACGATATTTTGTTTACATATATTTAATGTTATAACCGATAAAGTGAAGATTTAAAGCTTAAGTACTGTTAGAAAACGACCAAGGAAAATTTTTAAAAAAGAAGATCGGTGTTACCTCCGTGTCTCTGTTGAGGTTCCAGAGCGCGAGGCGGCCCGCGGCGTCCACGGCCGCGAACAGCGCCGGGTGCACGGGCGACCAGCGCACGTCCGACACGTAGTCGCCGCTCTCCTCGAACGAGTACAGCGGCTTGCTCTCCTGCACATACACGTACACGTACATGCACCAATCTCAGGCGGGTACATATATGCGGTACAGGGGCGCGCTGTACCTTGAGGCTCCACAGGCGCAGGGACCAGTCCACGGAGGCGGTGAGGTAGAGGTGCGAGAGGGGCGCGCTGCCGGGCGCGCTGTGGCAGGAGAGGGCGGGGGCGGGGGCGGGGGCGGGGGGTGTACCTTGAGGCTCCACAGGCGCAGGGACCAGTCCACGGAGGCGGTGAGGTAGAGGTGCGAGAGGGGGGCGCTGCCGGGCGCGCTGTGGCAGGAGAGGGCGGGGGCGGGGGCGGGGGCGGGGGGTGTACCTTGAGGCTCCACAGGCGCAGGGACCAGTCCACGGAGGCGGTGAGGTAGAGGTGCGAGAGGGGGGCGCTGCCGGGCGCGCTGTGGCAGGAGAGGGCGGGGGCGGGGGCGGGGGCGGGGGGTGTACCTTGAGGCTCCACAGGCGCAGGGACCAGTCCACGGAGGCGGTGAGGTAGAGGTGCGAGAGGGGCGCGCTGCCGGGCGCGCTGTGGCAGGAGAGGGCGGTGACGGGCCCCGCGTGCGCCTCCACACACTCGCCGATGCCCGCGCGCTGCCCGTACAGACAACCTGCGACCAACCAACATACACATTCATGTACAGGATCAATTACAAAACAAGAGAGGTGTACACGACATTTTAATATATTTTTAATAAAAGTTTCATTCACAAAATAAGTTAAAACTAAAAAGTAAATTTAATTTCAGTGTTTTCATAATTAATTCAAGCAATATTATATAAAATATAATAAGCCTAAAACTGTGATTATCGGTAAAAATAATTTAAACACTACCAGAAAAAGAAAACGTATTTTTTTTTCATATTCTGACTACATCTGTACTGTAAAGAATGCAAACTAATCATCCATGGTTGTACGAGCAAGCTACGTACATTGCTTTTTCCCTAGAATCATCAGTTTTAAGTCGACCTCAACTATATTCACATTTTTGTATAACACAAAGTCAGTTCGCATTCGGTCATCAAGCGCACCTCGCGTTCTCATAATCATTTTAATTAATAAGTCCTATTAACTTCCAAATATACCCTTTTTATCAGAATATAACAGTGTTATTATTTTACCAGTTTATCAAAATCTATGTTACGGGTTACCCGAACAATGGTATTAAACCTAAAAAAAACTACAGAATGGCTGTCGATCAAAATGCGTCAATGGGCCGACTGGGCTACTTCTGCAATGGTGTTTAATTTCACGATAAAACATTTTCGTGTGCCCCAATATTACGCCTCCTCAACAAATCGAAATCTAACTTAATAAGACTGATAATAAATAACTTGACGCCGATTAACCTACTTAATTATTAAATATTAAAAAAAAGCCTTTGCATTATTTTTATTTCAACACGTTCAAAAAGCATATAAACAAGCGTCTGTTGCGATACTTGTTCAATATCGACAAGTACTCAAATTTATAGGTCCGATAACTTTTACCTATTTGGTACAACGCGTTCTCTCAGCGACTACAATATACAACATACCTGTATAAACATCACCGTCTTCGCTGCCGAGCACGAAATTATTGACGTCCCCGTACGGGAATCCCATGCATGTGACCGCGACGGCTTTGCTCTGCCGATGCTGCAGGTCCAACGTCTCCTGCGGCGCTGACAACATGTCTAGCGACCAGGAGCACATGCGACCGTCCGTCGATACTGAGATCAGATTGTGCGCATTCTGACTGCCCACCACTGATAGACAGTATACTGGGTGCTGTAAATAAACCAGATTCTCTGGACTATTCCGAACTAATAAATAACTAAACTAAACATATTTTTGGGAATAAAATCGCTTAATTATATCAACCAGCGCTTCATCGTCTTACATAACACTATTATAATGTCAGTCGCCATTTTTATGTATAACAAAAAATAATCCTAATGCCACAAAAAATTGATGCAGGTTTTGCTACCGTAAGTCGTAATTTGCGCTTCCTTTGTGGGTATAAAAAGGTCAACGCGCGGTCAATATTCAAACATTGACGCGGACACACGAACAGATTTAACAGAAGAAAACACCTCGAAGATGAAGCCGCCTAAGTGGTTAAACTCCTACAATCAGGGATGCGGCAGTGTGGTGTTGCTCGGCAACTGAACTTAAGCCGTTTTTGGGTTCAAAGAGTGTACCAACGCCAGAGACTAGAGACCGGTGGCTACATCCGCAGACGTGAGTCCGGTAGACGTAGCTATATTTCAGAAAGACAACCGGTTTCTTGTGTCGAACTCTTTGATAAATCATTTCTCCTACGTTTTTAAGTTACAACAGTAGCTCGAGGCAGTTTGCATATGCACCGTGAGCATCTCTACAGTTAAAAGTAGACTGAAAAAGAATAAAATAGCGGCCCCCAGAGCTGCTACGGCGCATCGGCGAACCCACTTGCAGTTTGCTCGTAACCGTCGATTACTCCATTTGAGCAGTGGAGTGCGACCGAACACAGAAGAGTATATCGAAGGCAGGGTGAACGTTTTACACGAGCCTGCATCCAGGAGACGGTGGAATATGGGGGAGGATCCTGCTTGTGCTCGCGGACAAGGGTCGCTAACTGCTCGCCGCTATGTCACAAAGACCCTGGAGGTGCATGTGGTCCCTTTTGCCGATTATTTTGGTGAAGGGTGAAACGCTTGCGCTCACACTGCAACCACTGTTGGAGACTTCTTGCGGATATCCAAATCTCTGTGATTAGTGGCCAGTGAGAAGCCCAGACCTGATTAATCACCTTTGGGACCATCTTAAACGAAAGGTCCGATCTCGGAACCCTGCTCCTTCGACTCTTTAAGAGCTCCAAGGCGCGGTGATTGAAGAATGGGAACTTCTTCCTCAAGGCCAGCACCTGAAGTTCGTGAGGTCCAAGAGGGACCGTATAGAAGCAAGCGGGGGTAGCATTAGATTTTAAGTTAATTTTAAAGCACTTTTCGTACATTATTTTTATAAACTATATATTGTTAATTAGGACCTAGTTAAGGATTTTAGTTTCTTTCTAATTTTATTATTTTTGTTTGTTTAAAATTTAACAAAATTTTAATTCAATTAGTTTTTAGATACGCCTTTTTGTTACCTTTCTAATGATGCCCAAAACTTTTCTCTTACTAATGTATAATAAATTTAAAAGAAGTTTAAAAGGTGCATTTTTTTTTATGCCGAGTGTTGTTTGGTTTGTGCAGAAAAATCACCAAAATGTTATACTTTAAAAATCTTTCTTTTAATAAGGTATATGCTTCGAATAGGAATTGGGAGGTATCTTAATCTAGCAGGATTTCTCATAAAAAATATTTTACTACTATATCCATACATACCGTGTGTGCTAGCGATGAGAGTGGCGTACGCTGAACGGGCGTACGTTTCTGCACGCGGTTGTCCCATAACACTATTTGACCGGAGTACGTGCCTCCGAGGATCAAGTTAGGGTGAAACCTGACAACAGACACCGGGACTTAAGCAAAAGTAGATAGCGCTCAATACTCCTATGGCAGATGAAAAAAACTGTCCATTACGTGAGCGTCGACAGTAATTAATATGCCATATCTTCCCAGAATCATAAGATATGAACTATTAAGTTAATAAAGTATTCCGAATAGTAACCGGTAATTTAACATTTCTCATATTAGTGAACTTTATTCTGTAAAAAAACAAACTTGATGAAAGATGATTTATCTAAATATTTCTGTAAGACAACCGATACGTCACATCGAAAAAATTTATTGCGACATTTGTTTAATTACCCTATATCCTTATATAAAGTCATCGTCAAAATAATCTTTATTCAAATAGACTTCATAAAAGTACTTTTGAATCGTCCAACAATTTTTTTACCTATCACTCGTTCAGGACATCTTTTGGCTGATTAAAAGAACGAGCAAGAAACTCATCAGTTATAATGAGAGTAATGACAAACACCATGTCATAATCAGATACATAATAATTAGAGAAAAAAACAACTGTGATTTTACAATGATAAAAGAGATGTAAAAGGTAATACAATTATCGCCTATTCAGCCATTAACAATAGCATGCAAATGTAGTAAAAGAAGACACTATAAGCACTGATAATATAATCATTTAATTATAATGACAACAAGATAATTTAGAAGTAGCCCTCTTTTAACTTTAAATAAAAGTGAAGTGTCATCCGCAAACAATTATATATTTAAATATACCTAGAGCACGTTTTATATTTCTTTTTTTTTCTGACTTTGAATTGAAGTACATTAAATTCCAACATGTATGGTGCATTGTGAATATATATTCACACAAGAGTGTTTCACGAAACGATTAAAACATACAACTTATAATGGCGTTTTTCAAACAAGAAACATCTTAAGGTGTAATATAAAAGACATCAAGTGTATTAACGACGAGAATGAGCAGGTACATCAGGAAGCCCCATGAATTGTGCCTTAAGGTGCATATAAACCAAACGAACAAACTCTCAGTAGTGTAAACGAAATTTCTTTAGGAGCGTTAGGAACTCGATTCGCTAGAACACGATAACGCTTTGAAGAGACCGCCCCGACGAGCGAGCGTGTCCGAACGCGCACGAACGCGCGAAGGGCCGTTTACACCGAGCGAACGAGCATCATTAGAACGTTACCTGGCGAAGGTGGCGCTCATGACGGGCGACTGGCAGTGGAAGACGTCCTCGGGCGTGGGCTTCTTGAACTTGGTGTTCCAGACGAGGCAGACGCCGTCGGGGTCGTGCGGCGCGTCGTCGCTGTTGTGGTACGAGGCCAGCATGAGCTCGGGGTGCGCCGCGCTCCAGTCCAGGCTCGTCACGCAGCGCCCGCGCGACCAGCGCTCGTCGTGGAACGTGCGCACCAGCGACACGCGCGCGTCGCACTTGTCGTCCCTGCGGAGTGACGACCGTTCCATATCGATTTGTCACTGTCCGAGCAGCGGTCGGTGATAGTTCGCCAGGTAAAGACCAAAAGTGGCCCTCGAGGGGTCGTTTGTGATAAAATTAATTATTCCATACTTAGACACGTCGACGTATGTTTGGGGTTTATAGCGAGATGTTAGTGATTAACGAATGACCCTATTTTATAGATAAAATGCACAGCTTTAAAAGGTCTCTTTAGAACACCTCGAATGACATCGGCGAGTGTTGGGTTAGAACACGTTTAATACCAATTGGTCTGTCGGAAACGTTTAACCCATCCCGCCCCACGATTTAACAATGTTTAATAATGTTTTTTGAGTCATACTGTATGTTGATATCGCTTCTAAATTGGCGCCGAAACACTGATTCTGTATTCAAATATCGTGTGATAGTGTGATATGATGTACTAACAGTGCGTTCTCAGCATCGCCGCCGCCGGTGTAGTCCGTGTATATGTCGACGGACTCGGCGAGTGCCCGCTCGATGACGCGTCCCGCGCGACTGATGAACCGCTGGAACTCCGCCGACAACATTATCGTCTGCTTCTCGTCTACGCTCAGCTCGCGAACTTTACAAACATACAACGACAATGTTGTATTTACATGTATTAGTTGTATTTACAAAATAGATTACCGATATTATGTATCCAAAGTTACAAAATAACTTTAACGATAACATAATCTTTCACCAATTTTCCGTCCATTTAATAAGTAAACTGCTATTATAATATCACATAGCTCGGGTTACAAAGCTGGTTAAGCCGTATGGATAATACATCACGGCTCGTTAACTACACTACAAATTTGTTTATGTATTTAATAGATTCAGTTTCAACGTTGATATAGGATTCGTTATTTGCTCTGCAGGACACGAAAGTGGCGGCAGTGTTTTGTGACAGAATGACTATCTTCCTTTCATCAGATCCTATCCTATCTTAGAGACTTATCCAGTAAAGTGATGCGCCTGAACTCACCTATCCCTTTTCAATTCTGAGCTATATTGATTAGCACTTACCTTTCTTCTCTTTCTCCTCTTCCTTCTTGTCCTGGGGCTCGGCAGTGACTGCGGGCTGCACTTCCTTGACGGTGGGCAGTCCGTGGGGCAGGATGCCCGGCGGCAGCTTCCCATGGAAGGCGGCTTCCTCCTCGTCACCTTGCCGAGCGCCGTCGCCGTCGAATGTAAGCACTGGACGGTGAATAAGAATGGCCCTTGCCGCCGCGGGGGAACCGAACCCATTGTATACACACCACTGATTTACAGTTTGCAACTTTGACGTTTCGCGAAGACAGACGATTGTAGCATGTGAATATTGATAAATTCCAAGTTGAGATATTCATAATAGTAAATCGGTCGTGCGTTATTTTTATTAAACTTCATGAAGTTATTTAACAGTATAATGACCAAAATAATTGTTTTAAAAAAATCGTTTAGAAATAGGATACATCGACTTAATAACGATTCCGTTATTTATCATATCAAACAATAACTTCAAGAACCTTTAAACGGTGTGTAAATGTAAACGCTAAATAAGTTTTACTAATGAACACTACATGTGACCTAGTATTGTAAGATGAAAGTTATAGATGAATTTAGTTTATATCTGAGCAGTTATATTTTTCATTTTTTTGTGTTTATTATTGGATCAAACAGTATTACTAAATGAATACCAAATTCTATATGCAAATAATGAAAGAAAATGACTGCTCATATATAATATAAAAAAATAATAATTGTCATACGTATCATTCATAATGAGCGTCGAGTGACGTATGATCATATTAGACTACAATGATAGGAAATATTAGCACAACAGAAGCGCGAAATCTAATTCATAACACTAACACACTTATGGAAAATGTTATAATCTGTTTAATACAAAAAAAAAACACTATTTAAGGGTCGATTCTCGTTGACTGAAGATAGTTACTGGCAGCCTACACAAATGGTGAAAGATGTGAAAACAAAATGAAAGCACGAGTCCAGTTAATTAAACGAATGATGGCATATGGCCAATGTGTCATTGCTTCGAAATTGATTATTTTTATTACAGTTTATTGATTCAATTTGACTATTCGATATTGATTGTCAACCATATAGACCTGACGCGCATCTTTATATTTTAATTATAAAAGCAGAAAACCTTTTCTTTGGGATGTATATTGCTTACCCTTGGCTATCCACAACCCAAAATTTATATATTTTTCACTTCGAAAGTATTGGTTAAAAGATTTTATGTGTATGAACACGAAGTTTTCTAGAGGGTTGTCGTAATTGAATAAATATTTTTGGAATAACAGATTATAACACTTTCTACGCAGAGCCTTTGTAGATTTGGTGTGCTAATGAGGAGCCCATGAGAATTATAGCTACAGTAATAATAAAAAGAAAGCTAATAATTAAATAATACATCACTAGCAGTCACATTCATCTGTAATCATTGTTAACTGGGATGATTAACCATATAATAAAAAATCTTAAGCATGTAGAGATTTAATTCGAGAGCCATTTAATAAAATTTTGTATTAAAATTAGTACCTAAAGGTGCTTTGATATGTACTCAAAAGTAAATTGAATATTACTTCATATTTTTCTATGACGTCACAAAAAAATGAAATAACAATTCATTCAAGATATTATCCAAAGGCCTTGTTCCGATACTTTAATGCGCTGCAAAGGCCACGGTTGAAGTGTGATGGTGCCAAACATAACATTTGACGGTAATTCATTTCAGGAACAATATTTGCATTAAGACCTAAAAAACTTAAAATTACTACAATTGAATATCGGAGCATGCTTAACAAAAACAATATTACTTATATATGAAAAAAACTACTAACATACTTTGAATTAAAAAAAGACATGCAGCAACGTTTTATAATATGTTTAATCCTCCTTATCATCCATCCTTATACCTTCTATTGAAAGCAGCGTTGAATGAAAACATAACAACGTATTATTACTGTAACTATGATCTCAAATCTATGATATAAGTTTTTCACAGCTATGCTATCAAATTACTATCATTATTAAAAAACTTAATAAATAAACCGCTTAAAACTACGAAAAATTTACACCATAAAATTACGTAGGCGCCAATAATGTCAACTGAAGAAAATAGAGAAATCTGGGTTCAAACCATAGAATAAAAAGTGAGTAAATTGTAACAACATCACACTAAATTAATTATTTTTCTAAGCTACTTTATAAACTTACAATAAGGCCAGCTCACACAAAAATAAATCTATAATATATAAAGCGTCAAATAGTCAGTGACAGAAAGCTTCGACTTACTAAAATAGGCAATATTCAACATAATCTTCCCGAGCTCTCCACTAGAGAGATACAAGTCTCACAAAATAAATAAAACGTAATTATTAAAGACTTTCAATATATTTCACTTTTTAGAAATAATACGATGACGTAATTTCATGCAGACATACATGAAAAACATCTTCTGTCACATGCATAATGTTTAATTCAACAACTTTGTAAAATGGATATTTATGTAGCTGACAAGATAGTTTTACTGTTACAATTTTAAAAATGACAAGATAAATTCAAATTGTACTACAGTACAAAAATAAAACTGAACTTGTCAGAGCTAGGACTGGCAAGGGACTGTACACAGGCTTTATTTTTAATTTAATCTATAATTGATTAGTTACCAACGGACCTGTTTACAATCCACATTATGTAGGTAGCATACTTAATGTGCTAGAGTTAAAAATGTTGTTGTTAGCTATTGTCATACTCATATAATAGCGATACATAAATACGAAGAATAAAATAAGGGTAAGTAACAAAACATAACATGCTAAGTGACAGTGGCACAGGCTCTACAAGGGCAATTTTAGTTTAATAATGATTGTTTATATATGTTTCGGATTTGAAACCTACCTGTGAACTCGTCCTCCCACTCTAAACCCGGGTTTAGATTGTACTCGTCTTGAAAAAGGGAGGAAAAACAAAAACAATGTCAGTATCTTTGACCATTACAATATTGAAAAAATAAAAATATATTCAGACTATACATATATTAGCATTATCCACAGTGCCTTTATAATTTACAGCAAGACCTGACAAAACGGTTCGGCGCTCGAGTCCCCATGACGCGGCCTTGCGACCAGAGACCTCAAACCAAAGATACTTTGTCTCCGCTTGGATCTTTGGAAATTTTCAAAAAACTTTAACCAAAACGAAAATGACAACAAAAATAGTGATTTCCAAATGAATCCGAGAGGAGCGATATATCCCTAATATGCGGTCCCGAATCAATAGGTACGACGAGCCCCAAAACCATGTGTTTAGATCTGTGCAGTGTTGGTTAGTAGAATTGGAAGGGTAAGTCAGCGTGAAATGATATGGCGAACCCCATACTACCACCATAAACGATATACACAATATATTACTATAATTTAATATTAAACTTTGTTTTTAAAATATACTGCGGCCGTTCAAAGGTTGTCCCTTTGCGGTAAACCTCGTGGAGAACTCTGGAAGGCCACTTAATTCTTCTTCATTGAAAAGACATCACAGTGAAACTCTTGTTAAACTCTAATGTCACTCAACCCCCGCTTTAAGTTCACCTATCTATCCCAGATTTCTTGATAAAGAAGATTGTACTTGAAAAATCTAATGTAATAATTTATCAAGTAATCTGCCACTAAAATGCACCTAGGCAATGTTAGTTAGAAATAACTAGAAGCGTGAGAGTAAGGATGTTCTATACACAGGTCTAAGTCGTCACGAGGATATTTTACAAACCGACACCGAGAGATTAGTCAACAAGATGAGACAGTTAACGTTACAAGAACGAGACAAAGCGTCCGGGCAGAATAATGACTTACCGTAGTAGTCGGTTGCGTGTGCTAAAACAGGACAAAAATAAAAACAATCCGTCAGTACAAAACAATATTGTGAATCATAATATTCTATACAAAGTGAAAGCCCCATATATACTATTTATATTTTTATATACTGAATTTTACATAAGAATAATTGTAAACCAACGAATATATAAAATCTCCAATGGTATTAACAATGACCAGAGTTTCTTAATACATATCTCATGAGCCCATGCGAATGTTTTTTTTGGTGTGCTCTAATGAAACATGCCAAGAGAATTTCCCCAAACTTTAGTGAACCCAAAATATTTTTTTTAAACAGCCTTTATTGACAAACTTCATCATATTATAGTTACTTAGTAAGCGTATAAACTTCACCATTTAGCGTTTGTTACATATTGAATATATCATGCAACAATTACAAAGTTTGTGAATAAAAGTTTCAGGAACTGCATGCATTTTTTTTTCTCATAAATACACCATGCTATATAGTTTATTATTTTTAAATAGAATCTGATTGTCTGAGAAAATGCTTATTCGAAAATTGCTATTTTTTATGCAGCCCATCAAAAAACTATCGCATTCAACAGAACCAAGAGTTAATATTAGATAAAATAAATAAATTAATTAAGTTACATTGTACAGTCTCAATCAACCAAACGTCACTCTATCAAAAAAAAATCTAATAATTGATTCATGTTTGTATTGATGTCAGTTGTTGGATTGTAGCAAGTTTTTTGAGAGGCCACATTAAAAAAAAATAGAAACCTTACTTTTTCGGTTACTTTGTTTTTAATGTAAACATACTGTTTTTAAATGCACAGCGTATTCATGAGGTTTTGTTATCTCTAATATTAAACAACACAAACAAAGCATTCGCACAATTATATTTTGTAAAAGAAAAGGTATACTTTACAAACACTTATACTTTTAATTGCAGTCTTCCTAATCAGATTTTGGAATATAAAGTCTAGGTAACGAAATAAATTCAGCTTGTATTACGCTTCAAACAATACATAGTGGAAAAAATATAGTCCTATCATTTTTTTTTAACAGACTCTAATAAAAGGAGGTTCTCAATTTAACCTGTATGTAAAATCGAAAACCTCCTATGATAATGTATATTTGTGCGCGATTATTTCGAGTTTGGCTGAACCGATTTTGATGTGGTTTTCAGCATAGTTTTTATCGGACTTAGCAGAAGGTAGAATTTGACGCGGTATATTATTATTCAATAATATGAAATATTTAATATTATTAAATAAATAAAAGAGTATTGTTTGAGGGACGGTACGCTTTTAATTACAAGAAGACCATCAACATCTTAGTCTAAGTGAGCACGGGTCCGAAGTGTAAAAATGAAACCAAATATACCGTTTAAAAGTCGTTAATCAATACCTTTTCATATTCAAAAACAACTAACCTAATCCAACCTAACTGAACTGCTCGAAGGACTAACTTTTCAAAATATACTAAGTAGATTATTTACAGGTTAGTGTAAGAAACGAATACTTTGTTTGAGTTAACAACTGTATAGCACCACGGCAGTACACCAGATTACCACAAAACATCTCTGCTATCGATTTTGAGTCTTGCCTCCAAGAAATTAAGGTTTATATTCAATTGAAGAGACTTGTCTTTGATAATCTGATTTTCAATTGATTGTACAACAACGAATAATGTTAATGAGTTTGGTATTACCTTTCCGCGGCCGCCACCAGTCCTCCATGTATCCTGCAAGCGGTGATGCATTGGAAGAGCAGCCTTTTTTTATGGTAGCACAAACACAAACATTGCACCAAAATCTCAAACAGTATTTACTTTTATATTATCACAACTCGTATTCTTTGAAGGGGATGGGTAGACGGTAGAAAGAAAAGATACAGCACTTTTTTAAGCTGACGTAAACAAAAATCTTACGAGATTAGCTGTGGCCTAAATATTATTTGTACAAAATTAATTATAAAAAATTTGCATTAACAATATTTTTATAAAAAAATTGTATTGTTGTTCTGTTCATTTTAAAGACATCAGTTAATTTCAGAGAACTTAAAGAAGACACTCTTAATATATTCAGACAACAAGCTTGAGGGCCAAATAAAAAAAAACATTGATTAAAAGTAAATACTGTCGCAGTAACTACAGATGTCGTTGGTTATATGAGTTAATATCATTTGCAAATTAATGACATATTATGACATTAATCAAATGGGAATTGATAATACCATTGTCTCGTCCACTTTACTTTTTCCATTGACCACCCATACAAATCATGATAATTTTACAAAATATTAAACTTTTGACTTTAATCTCTATAACTATCAGAACTTGGACCGAATCCGTTCTAGATTTGCAAATGACATGATTAGAACCAGCACCCGGACATCACAGTTAATAAATCAATATAACATTAGGGACTTCACAATTAAAAATGCAAATTCTCAATCATTTTGTAAAGTTAAAAAAGAACACATATACTGTCCACAAAATAAGACCAAACCAATGACGTTATCTAACATCTACTAACGAATTGTCGTGTAATCTAAGAGACAAATATTTAGACAGTCGAACATCGAAATTTATTTCATGAAATAGGTGTTTTTTTAATCACACCTCAATATGGAACACGGACATTACATAACTATAAAAAAATACCTGACAATGAAAATATAAAATTTCGTAACAAAAATAAATTATGAAATTAAGTAACAACTACGAGTACTTTAAATGCCAGAACGTATGCAACTAGAGATCAATCGGTACGAAAAAATTGATTTGGAGTTTGTAGAAAGGAAGGCCTTTGACCAAGGGGTCAAACCTAGGATAAACCAGTAATTCCAAGAATAGACTGCATATCGACTTTCGACTATAACATATTACTGAACCATTACGTTTATACAATGGACTCAATGTAAACTCATAAAACGGTAGTATAAAACTACACTACAAACTAAACTACATTGTATGTACTGATTTCTGAAAAAAAAAATTATTGTTATTGTTAATTATTTGTTGATTTTGTATTATTATCCAACTAAAAACTCTTTTTTCAGAATCAGTACATAATAATATTGAGAATTTGCATTAGAGAAAATGTATTATTTCATAACACTTCTTATTTTTGTTAAATGTGTTAGCACTTATCATTTAAAAAAAAAAAGTAAGTCACTGAAAACACACAGTTTATTTAACAATATTTAGTAAATAAACAAAATTGTTATTAAAGGTATTGTATTAAGAATTTTATTTTCAGATCCTGCAAAAATTCTAGGATTTCTAAGATTGTTACCAGAAGAACTTCAAAATCTATAGAAAATAATTTGTTAATCCTCTAGAGTTTCTATGGATTATTTATTAAGCATGACTCACCATCTCTTAATTCTGTGACCCCAGAGGTGGTAGTTTGAGTTTGCTTGGTATATGTCACATTCTCCTTCGGTGGGATATCAGTGGACTGAACCGAAACAACTTGTAACTGTAGAGGTTTCTTTGGACCACTGATAAAAAAATGGTTTGCATAAAAGTCTATTACAATACAATATATCAGATTGGGAAGTCTTTTTGCATACAGTATGCATAAACTTGTAATAAAAAATTTCTGGCTATACCATATGTATCTGGCTGGTTTCAGTGTCATTAAAAAGTTTAAATTTTAAAGAAGATGACTCTGAATTCAAATTAGGAAAAGGGATGATATTAATTTGTTTCTTTTACTGTTAAAATGAATGAATCTAATGCAGTAATTTGATACATTTTAAAATTTTATTACAAAAAAGGTAAAAATGCAACATAAGCTGGGAAAAAAAAAATTACAAAGTTGCACGTCGCTCCGGTGGCCCTGTTACAGATAAAATGGATGCCACTTTTTAAAACTACTCTTTTTTAGCATATACTATGCAGCATATGCAGAATAGGCATATCAGTAGTTACAACGTAGCTGAAGAACTGGGGATTGACCATAAAACACTTTTGGCATAAAAATTAAATTATAAACATAAATGCAATATTTGTTATACAAGTATAGGCCAACCATCCCTCCTTAAGCTATATCAGATTATTACACAATTTTTAATCTTTAAACCTGGGGTTAAAAAGAATATCTGAAAGTTTATTGTCTTTATCATATTTGCTTATGTGTAGATAGTCTGAATCTAATTACAGTAATATTCAAATTATGTAACCTATTACTATACCAACCCTTGCGATGGCAAACTAGACTTGTCAGTATGTGGCAGGCTCGCATCGGGCGACGCCGTTTGTGGCGGCGTTAATGACGTCATGGATGAAAGAGATGACAACACATCTTTCACTGGAGCCACGCCTAACGACGACAGCATCTCATCCAGATCACGACGACTGTCCAAGCTAGATGCGGCCGAAGCTCTTTGCTGAAATGGTACCATTTATTAATTGAATTACATTAGGACAAATCAATATTCATTAAAATTACCCATATAAGTATACATACAATTTTTTCTATAAGACTGCAAAATGATCTATTTGCAGTCTTGTAACTTATTGGAAGTATCCAATAAGTTAATCTAACTAAAGCCAGACAAAATTTACAAGGTTACAAGTAAGTCAACATCAAATAAGGCCTAATGTATACACTGAAAGTTGTTTATGAAATTTCTTAAACTCCAAATACATGACAATATCCAAACATGTGTAAACCTTAATGTGTTTACAATGTTACTTAGATGAATATCCTTGCAACCATTGATATAAAACTACTTAAATTCTCACCAATGCCTCCTCAGCATCTTTCTGTTCTTTTTCCCTTCTTCGCCTGTCTTTCTCTTCACGGAGGGCCTGTAACTTTGCCTTCTTCCGCTCCAACTCTGCTTTACGATCCGACATGCTTGACATTGTTGAATCTAAGAATGAATATAAATTGAATAAAAACAAAAAAAGTTTTGCATTCTCATTGCATCGCCTTTTGTAAGAAGCGTAAGAATCATAATAAGTAATTATAGCCTCAGTGTTGTTAAATACTATGATTTGTTTTTACCCAAAAAGTCAATGTTATCACTTAGATAATACTAAGAATTAACCTTGTTTAAAGTTGATAAACTTTCATATTCACTAATCTACAGTATTCAATATTGATGAGTTTGAGTGGTTTACACAAAACTAGGTTTCCGTCAGCGTTTAGTGGGATAAAAAGAATGTATGTAGTTAATTCAGGCTTAGAATTTATCGTATGCCAAACCTTATTATAATCCGATCAGTAGTTTTAGACTAACAAATTAACAAACATACCTAAAACATTCATATTTATAGAAGGATATCTTATTAGAAGCCATGTATGGAAAACAGTAGACATGAATTCAAAAGGTCGCATATTTCTGATGTCATCACATCAGGTTTAGTATGAATCATCTCATTTTAACGTAAAGCTTACCTTTTGTTAATATTATACGATGTTAAAGCCCTTTAATCATTTCCAAATATTTTTCATACCGTCAGAACGTGGCAAGTGGAAATTCTAAGAACGTTAACGGGACATAAGTACTTCAGAAATAAATAAAGGACATTAAAAAATACTAACTACACAGTCACACTTAGTAACGTTACAAGAAAATACCAAACAGTTATTTACAATTTCATAGTTTTTCTACGATTTTCACGTAAAAAGTAGATACAAACTAAAAACCATCATCGGCGATCAAAATTTCTACAAAGTACTGCCATATCCAGTTTCCTTTTTACCTGAATGCTCGGACCTACTGTCTATAAATGCTGGTGTTCCCCAAGGAGGTGTGCTATCACCTACACTTTTTCTTCTGCATATTAATGAATGCTGCAAATTAGCGGTATTCATTGTTATGCAGATGACAGCACGAAGGACTCCACCTATAACGGTCGTGCAAATATTTCTCGGGAAAGCGTCATTGAGAGACATTGAATCTTAGTTAGAGGAAGTCTCTAACTGAGGTCGATTTAATTCGGTCCACTTCAACCCTACTAAGACACAGGTTTGCGCGTTCACCGCCAAAAACGGCCCATTTGTCGTATCACCTCGCTTTCAAAACATTCCCCTAACTGCCTCAGCCAATATTGAGATTCTCGTTGTAGACATATTGAGCGAGGTCCAGTTCCGTGGTCACTTAGAGGATAAGGCTAAATTAGCATCCAAGAAGCTTGGTGTGCTTAATAGATCGAGGCAGTATTTCATTCCAGTACATCGCTTGCAGCTTTACAAGGCACAAGTCCGGCCCCATATGGAATACTGTTCTCATCTTTGGGCAGGGGCACCCCAAATACCGTCCCTCAAAGGTCGGAAATGCGCTTGTAGCTCCTCTGGTGTTCCATGGGCGACAGTAATCACTCACCATCAGGTGATCCATCTGCTCGTCTGACCCTAAACCATAAAAAAAAAAAAATCCTGAAGCTGGCCTGGTATATGAAGCAAAGCGGCGTCGCCTCTTACCAACAAAAACAGAAAGTTTGGTATTCATTCACCACAATTTGCCACTTATTAATTTGGAGTATTAAATTATTTAATAAATGTATGCAAAGTGGTATAATTTTCCTAGTGTAAAATAATGATATTTATGTAACCGGATATCCGTTTCATCTCTAATACCGAGTCGCATCGATATGCAGCAATAGTGTTTCAAAAAGTATTTAATTTTTGTACACATCGATATTGTTACAATATACATTTCATTATCCACATACCTACGATTTCAAACCTAAATCAAAATATAGTCACATAGCATCATAGCATTGGTTGTAGAAATTAATGCTACTCATTAGTTTTCAGCTAGAAAAAATAATACTTTGTTACTCTAATATAGTTAATTATAAACAGGTTTTATAAATTAGAAAAATTCAACCCAGTAAATAAACCAATGCTATAGTATAGAGGTATTTGAAAAAATGTAGGCATAGATAATACATAATATTGGTTAGATAGTGCGTTTTCTATGTAACTGTCACATAGAATTGAGCTGCCATTGGCTAATGAAAAATCTTTTTATATCAAATAATAAAAACTACCAATCAAAATGGAAATCTCAGTGACAGTTATAAGATAAGCCGGGTTCAATGAAAGCAAACTTTAAAGGGTGTTGTCTGGCTTGATTGATGATTGGTGTGACAACGCTACCGTAATGATCAAACAGTTTTTATTCATTTTCTGATTGACCAAACGTTTTCTGCTTTTGCAAATTCAATTACAAATTAAATATGAAATTATGATGAGTAACTTTGTGTATTATTTGTTTGTGTTCATTTGCTGTACGATTACAAAAACATACGCAGGTTAGTTGAACGTTAAAACGTTTGTCTTATAAGTATTTGAGATTTTTAAAAATAACTTATGATTGTGTGTTACACTATATTAGTATATATGTAATTTGTGACGACTACTATTTATCATAAAATTGGTCACTAAAGTACTTATTATAATTTATTTTTGTAGGTTATTAGGTGTTAAACATAATAGAAGTTTTTGATCACAACACACAGTTTAATTCTTATATCATAAAGTTGATTTAAAATTAAATATTATTCATATTTAAAATAAAGAAATCGGCAATAAAAATTGATCATAATATGGATTTAAAAGGCTTGTTTTGTATGAGTATAGTGTGAAAACTATTGGTATAACACGATATCTGTAACTTGCACAGTATTATTTGTATTCTTATTTGTCTTACGACTACTAATTGTATTGCTGAAAGTTTACTGTAATTTGTTTCAGAAACTGTAAGGTATTACTATGATTATGAATGTAATGAGCCACTGGTAGCTAGTTCTAAGTTAACCGCAACTTCAAGTTTGAGAGATAGAGGTCCAGAAAATGCTAAGTTATATGGTAAGTTGGTGTCTGATTACATATTTTTGTGCATTTTAAGTATTATGAGTGAAAACTAGTATGTTAAATAGTCTCAATGTATTATTATGATTTAAAAATTAATTTCCTAGGTTTTTTTTATACCACCTTAAGGTTATTTTATTCAAAGTATGACATTTTATTTGAGTTTTAATTATTTTGCATGCATTTTATGTGTTTTTTTTGCTATTTTATTTGCACTGAAGACTATTGTGTTTGCTGGCTCAACAAATTCATTTAAATAATGAGAATACATAGGGAAATAAATAGGATTAATTCATCAACAGGTCCACAGAGTGTATAACAATATATTTTGGACCATACACCCAATAGAATTTGGAAAATACTGTGTTTATTCAACAAAATCTTTGAGCAGAAACAAAATGGAGAATCATTTTAATACAAGATGGGCCTTCAATACCAGTTCTTGGATACCCAATGAACATGACATTTTAAAAGCATCAAGCCTCATACAGCCTGAAGAAAAAGAAAGAATCTCACGGTTTGTTTTTATAAATGATGCTAAATCCTCATTGGTTGGAAGACTAATGATGCGACAATTTGTGTGTATGACTACTGGGATGCCCTATAATGAGATAAGATTTGGTAGGGATAGTCATGGAAAACCATACCTTTTAGGCATGGGTGATAATCATATAAGTTTCAATGTTTCTCATCAAGGTGACTATGTTGTGTTAGCTGGTAACACAAAGCTGAATATTGGTGTTGATGTTATGAAAATTGAGCCTCCTGCTAATAAGAATATTGCAGATTTTTTTCGGTTGATGACCAGACAGTTTTCTAGAGAAGAATGGAAGATTATCCATAGTTTCCCTACAGAGCTGGAACAAGTCTCGTGTTTCTATAGAAATTGGTGTTTGAAAGAGAGTTATGTTAAAAACACTGGTTTTGGTATAACAGTGCCATTGCAAGATATAAGTTTTGTTATGAAAACTTTGAAATTGGAAGTTGGCAAATTTGTAACAGACACTGTTTTATATGAAAGGGGAAATTTAAAACAGGATTGGTTATTTGAAGAAACTCTGCTAGATGATAAACACTCTGTGGCTGTTTCTATGCAAACAAACAATACAGTGGACTTCTCTTTTGAACCATTTAAAATTGTAACATTTGAAGAATTAATTAAAGAAGCCTCTCCATTATATGATACTGATGGAAAGTTTAGTAAGGATTTTATTAAAAAGCAAATTAAACCTTTCTAATGTATATTATAGTATATGTCATCTTAACATATTAAGCAATGGTATATTTTTAACCTACAAAAATAATGCTAAAACACAAAATGTTTTATTTAAAATAGTTATTTCGTAGGCATGTTTTCAAATAAATATTAGATATAAAACAAGACCTTTATTTACAAACTAACATTCTATAAATTTATTAACAATGGAAGCTTTGCAATGCCTTGAATGTTAATTTCCACAATGACAAGGTTTGAACGCGTGGACGGCTTTGGAAAACGACTTCGACCAACAGTTGGTGATAGATTTAGGCAGCGTGAAGAATATTACTAGGATATCGACGCAAGGTCGCGCTCATTCTCAGGAATTCGTGCAAGAGTATCACATAAGTTATGGCTCTAATGGCCTCGATTATGTCCAGTACAAAGCAGCCGGTGGGGAAGTCAAGGTAAACACACATGAAATCCATATCAAGAAACATGGTACTGGGCTCAGGGTTTAACTTGCATGCTTGAATTGTAGCGTGGCTTAAGCTTAGTAGATTAGTGATTTGGACTGTGGTTTATGGTGGACACATTGTAATATTGACCAAAATAATACTTTCTTATAATCAAGAACTAACTACTATATTTTTCTTTTATCAATTTAACATTGACTATAAAATAACATTGTAGAATAAAATAAAATTTTCTGTTCTTTTTAACCAAACTAATTCTAAATTCCTTAGTATATTTTGAACTTGTTCTAGTATGACATTGAAATGTTGATTGATTCTCCCAATGAAAGTTCAAAACGTAATTTATGTACGTATTTCGCTTTACGAGTTTTGTCGTGTTTATCATACAAAACGTTATGTTTATAGTAAACACGAACATGTGCTTATCTATTTCGGGGAATCGGTCTCATTAACTGTCTACGGTCGATTATCTAACTATACAGCACTGACTAACACTAACACCGGTGAAGGTACCTCTGCATGGACGTCGCAGGACAGCTCGTATTACCAGCACCTGACGGTGGACTTGGGTGCGCGTAAAGAGGTGCGAGGTTTTGCCACCAGAGGGCGCTACGCCACTGATGAATATGTCTCCGAGTATATGCTGCAATATTCCGACGATGGCGAGAGTTGGAGGATTGTCACCACCTCTGGTGGGGACGCTCAGGTTTGTATTATTAACAAAATCACAACAGCACAGGTAGACTCCGTCGGTCCAGATGCATACGAGTAGTACATATTCAGATGTATTATTTTCTATTCCTAGGACAGTCGAAAAAAGTAAACAGACCAAAAGCAGTATGTGGGCGTTGAAATAACCGATACGTATCGGCATCCATAGAGACCTCTGTATCGTTACCGTGGAGTAATGCCTAACGTTGTGCACGGTGGGTTCACCGTAGGGTTGCGGTACCGTACTACAATATAGGTATAGAATAGTACTATATTTCGGACCTGTGTATTACATATTGTTGAAAACATAAAGCACGGATAATTACTACATTTTTTACACCAAAATTTTAATAAATAAATTATTTGTTTATAAAGGTGGTTGCGTAAATTGAATTTACATAAGTTAAATGTCATAATAGGGAAAAGGTTCAAAAAAACTTTATTTGAATAAAATATTCATTATTATATTTGATCAATTTCGCATTCACAATGCTATTCTGAAAATATTATTAATGAAAAATTCTTAATAAAGTCTACTAGATAATTTCATTTCACATCTTGTACGAGTATATCCTAACGTGTTTGTCTTAGATAATGCTCGAATCCAGTTATATTTAATCGCTATCTAGAAACTATATATTTTTTGAAGTGCACTATATTTCCATAAGATCTTTTTAATAAATACTATATTTCGCTGAAATCATGTTGGCAACCCTAGGTCAACAACCGTCCCGTACTATAACACTTAGTACTTAGCGGAAACGACGCAGAGTTCTATGGATAGGGATACGTGTCGTTATCTTTTAACTCTCATACAATATTTTGTCCATTGAATTACCTGTTCTATAAACAGACTCAAAAAGGGCAAAATATAATGCATGTCTAACATAGCCACATTTATCAGATGTTCCTTCTCTACGTGTGCTCCGTAATATGTCTCTGCGTCTTTTTTTTCTGTGTGAGGGTAAGAGGTAATTCAGAGCCATAGGTTGAGGATCCGTTCGTATTGTCCCAAATGCAAATTCTATAGTCTGCAAATGAAATAACTTTTCCCTTTTTATACTGGGTTAAAAAGTACTAATAGTTTTGGAATTATTATAATAGGTACATATAAGCAGACAGTTTGCTTAATAATTTGCTACTCTGTCTCTATCGCATATTACTGATCGTGCTTGGATCATAAGATCAAAACAATTTATTATATCTAACCTTTGATGATTTTGGCGTTGTGAACTATTTTTTGTGTACACAATAAAACATTTCAATGTAAACAGCTGATCCTATTACGTAAAGTATAGATTTACGATGTTTTAGGCTGCGTACACATTAAGCTGTAATAGGGTAGTTTCGGTAGTGAAAATTAACTCACGAAATTGAACAAAAACTAACATTTACATCGTAATAAACATAGAGATTATTATTTTGAGTCTTAAAATTGCACGATTATCTTATTATCAACTTTCAGAGGAGATTATTTTTCCGAAATATTTGTTTTATAACTTTTTAAATTTAAATAAACTGTTATAAGTATTATTTCAAACAGAGTAGAATACCCTGTTGTAACAGTTTCACTTTACCGTTACCAAAAATCTTAGTGTGTACTTCACTTACTGAATAGTACAGTGGCACAACTCAAAAACCACGATTCCGAGAAATGCTCTCCGAAGTTTATGAAAATCATAATGTTTAATTATGAAAATCAAATTGTTTAGCATAACAGTTTAATCGTTTGTATTATATTATTATTGATAAGTTTTTTATTTTTTCTTTAAATTATCTATGGGATCCCACTACAATGTTGTGGCGTTTTCCCGAAATTATGGTTTTTGAGTTATGCCACTGTACTACTCAGTGAGCGACTTGGTTGATGGATTTTGATTCGAGTTTCCGCACTTAGTACTTTGACAATGTGAAGTATCAACCATTATAAAACTTTCATATTTTTATCACGAGCTCTTGTATTATAATAAGTACGCTGCTTTAGATTTATGGCTACTAAACTTTATTAATATGAATGTGTTTTAAATCTACTAACCTTATTTGCGACCTTATTGTTCTCGTAGTTCATAGAGAAATTTTAAAAGAGTTTTATTAGTTTTAAATTGATTCTCATGTTCGTTAAGCTATACCGATGTGACAATCAAATATCATGTTAATGTGACTGAATACCATTGAAGCTAATGTTTACGATGACACTCCGAGAGTTAGGTGTACCTATCCAATACATTTCTTAAGCCATGTATATTTTTACAGATGTTCGAAGGAAATCAAGACGGAAACACTGTACATAAGAACGAATTTGAAGTGCCTATTATAGCTCAGTACATTAGGGTGAACCCGATGAGGTGGCGAGATAAAATCTCCATGAGAGTAGAAGTGTATGGATGTGATTACGGTATGTTATATTATATTTTTAGAAATAATAACATATTTATCATGAAGTGAACCTCTGTCATTGAGCCAAATTTCAGCTCGATCTATCCAGAAGTTTGAGCTGTGCATTTAAGATCACTCCGACAGTCAGTCAGATTTTTATTTAAATATTTTAGCAGTATAATATTCTGTATTAATAACAATGGTTATTCCACAGTGGCAGACACGTTATATTTTAATGGTTCATCATTAGTGAAAGTAGACCTCCTTCGCGATCCTGTATCAGCGTCAAGAGAGACGATACGTTTCCGCTTTAAGACCAGCACTGCATCAGGAGCTATTTTGTACTCACGTGGCACTCAGGGTGACTATGTCGCGTTGCAATTGCGGGATAATAGATTGGTGCTCAACATTGACCTTGGTAAGTGGAATATTAGATTAAAAGATCTTAGAGCTATTTAAATACTGGAAAGATGGAATTAAAACATACTGCTTCCTAGAAAGAATTATTCCCATTACTGCTTTAACTCAATTCAGGCTGTTTGATATTTATCAAGTGCCATTAATAAGTTAAATGCGAATTAAAAAAGTTAATTTGACATCGTTATATATATAAAAATAATTCTTGCTCAGTTACTTTGTAGTCCTTTATAACACAAAACTTGAATAAGCCTCAATTTATTCATGTCTTACTATTACGAACTAATGATAAGCTTTGCTATTTGCACAAATAGTATATAAAGTAATTATAAATGTGTCGTGCAAGCAAATTTTTAATGATTTCAGCAAATTCAGTTCAGGTTAAAAACTATCGCTAATCCGAAAAACAAATTATGGTTAAAAACTCTCGTGTGTAGGAACGAAATTTCAGTCAATAGGTATCATAATTAATTGAAATTCTCATCATTAGTAATAACAACAGTAATCATAAATAATTTCATATCTATTTTAAAATCCTCAGTTATATATATATAATATATATAACTGAGGATATATAACTGATATATATAACGGATATATATCCGACTGTAATGATGGTCAACCTAATACAAAATAGAGAATTTTTCAAATGAACATTTCGTTTAGGTTCCGGCACTCCCACATCAATGTCAGTGGGTAGTTTGCTCGATGATAACATCTGGCACGATGTAGTGATCTCACGGAACAGACGCGAGGTGCTGTTCTCAGTAGATCGCGTCATTGTACAGGACCGGATCAAGGGGGAGTTCTCCAGGCTCAATCTGAATAGAGCGGTGAGTAAAGCGCTCATGACGCTGCATATTTTAAATACTTACGTCAGAATGATTATTTCATACATATTACAAATAATTTCTATACAGATTCGTTAATTGTGTATATCTTTAGCTATACATAGGTGGTGTTCCAAACTTCCAAGAGGGGCTGGTGGTGAATCTGAATTTCACTGGCTGTGTGGAGAACATGTACCTGAATGCTACCAACGTGATCCAGGAACTGAAGCAGGGATACGAGTCTGGCGAGCCATTCAAGTACCAGAGGGTCAACACGCTATACTCGTGTCCTGTGAGTGTTATCATTGGGAATGGAAATGATGAAACGTCACACTGTAACTGTAAATATATATATTAGTTTGTCGTCAGCTGTGATATTAATTAAGACAACCGCCTTAAAGCAACTTTTCAGGAGAGCTGGAAAACTGTATTACAATTCAGTTTTTGCAGTCATTATTTAATATGTATATCGTTTTGTGAGTTCTAAAGTTTAGTGTATATATCGTATATAAATAATTATTTAGATATACATGTATAAATAATTGATTAGACGTATACAGATATTACGTGTGAGAAAGCATGAGTTCATCTGTCATTTCATATTCAATCTTAGGACTAGTGTGTGACAGTAGTTTATCAACCATTGCTTCTCGTCGGTTATATTAGATTTTTAATAGATCTCCTCTGTGCCAACTAAAACTGCTGCTGAACTTATTTTTGTAGTACTTAAGGCTGTAAAGTTTATACTAGGTTTTATAATTATATTTATTTATCTAATACCACAGGAACCTTTAATTGTTCCTGTTACGTTCCTGAAGGAAGGTTCGTACGCTAAATTGCGCGGCTACTCTGGCGCCAACACTCTCAACATCTCACTAGAGTTCAGGACATACGAGAATCATGGATTACTCATATATCACAAGTTTAAAACGGAAGGACATATAAAGGTGAGAACTTTAGAATAGAGAACTTTTATTTTATATTTTGTCAGTTAGTTTATAAAAGATTGTTTCTCGTCGCTTTAACTTAATGTTTTGTTAATTTAAGTAAATTATAGTTTTCCTATATGTTGTTTAAGGTTTCGGGTTTCTTTAGATATTAAATTTATATGTTGTAGTGCGATAGAGATTATAAGTCAGTATATTTTATAACAGAGTATGAATATTGTTATATTAATTCTACACATTTATTTTCAAAAAAATATGAAACTTGAAATTTGAATAGAATAGAATAGATTTGCGTCAAACATGGTATTTACAGTTTTACAAAAATAGATAGTTCAACACGTTTTGCCATTCTTATTAGCAAGCGAATATATTAATTAATACCAATACAATAAAAATAAAATAATAATTAAAAGCTTATAAAATTTTGATATGAATGTCATAAACCCATTATTATTATTATTAACATTATTGAATGTCCAAGTACTGCTTAACACTATAGAAATTATATTCATTCAGCTATCTAAACAACTTTGTCTTAAATAATTTTACCCTTAATTGTTTAATGTTAGTCGGCAATTTATAATACAGCCTTACGCGCATACATAGAGAATACTTATTGTATATTTTCGACTTTGGAATTTCATCCAAGACAAGTCTATTAACATTCCTACGAGTTCGCGTATACAATTCGGTTGTTGTACAAAATAAATCAGGGTTTGACTTCACGTAAACTCACGCTTCATATATATATATATATATATATATATATATATATATATATAATGATGGTAACGGCAACAAACCAAGCTCCCTAAATAATGGTTTACATGAATCCCGTGGCGATTTATAAGTTACTAGTGGCCGCCAGCGACTTCGTCCGCGTTTTAGATTATTTTTTAATAGCTCCTAATAGTTGCAGCGTGATGTTATATAGCTTAAAGCCTTTCTCGATAAATGGTCTTTTCAACACAAAAAGAATTTTTCAATTCGAACCAATAGTTCCTGAGATTAGCGCGTTCAAACAAACAAACAAACTCTTCAGCTTTATTATATTAGTATAGATTGCTCTTATACATTTTCTTTGTGCAATAAAAGCTCTTTCAAGCTTAGCCCCGGTAAACATGGTATCCCGCCGTATGGATGATCTTTCGACTTTCACAAGTGTTTGGACTGAATAAATGATATTTAATTTTTAAATTCAAATTATAGGGATAGGCGACATGCGCCACTACCTATATGGGTGCTTATACCACCTGCATATGGTGTAACTTTCTGGAGGTGAAAGCATTCTTAAAATCGGTCCAGGAGGTTTTGAGTTTTTTCGATGTTAATAAACAAATGTTTCCTTCTTATAATATCAGTAAAAATAATGTAATTAGTGACCAGGCTACGTAGATTAGATCGGCCCAGATCGGAGTAGGTTATATATATACTGGGTCGTGTAAGCCGAAACGTCCACATCCACGGGGACATTTCTCCGGATTTTTTCGACTAATCTAATAATATTCAAGCGCCGGCGAAGTGTTTCGATCGCAAAAATTAAAAATGGCGTACAACAGCGACAGGGTGAATTATAGGGGGGCAATTTAAGAAGTTTCGAGATCGAATCGAGGAGGAACAATATCGTTTTCGCAATCACCTTCGGGTGAGTGGCGCCGGAAACGAACGCGAGGTGGTATTTTCTGCGCAGGTGTTCCTGGAGGAGGGCAAAGTGAAAGTGGAGCTGGCCACCCCGGGGTCGCCGCTGGTGAAGCTGGACAACTTCGCGGAGACGTTCAACGACGGGCGCTGGCACGCGCTGGCGCTGCACCTGGCGGCCGACGGGCTGCTGCTGGCGCTGGACGGCCGCCCCGCGCGCACGCCGCGCCGCCACCGCGCGCGCCCCGGCGCCCTCTACTACATCGCGGGTAACCCGGCCCTGAACCGACCCTGGCTTATCCACCGCGCCACCGAGTGCATTAGGAATACGTTTAAATAAGCCTCGTAATAGATGTTTCGGTAAAATAGACACGTTTTCTCGCCTTAAAGTTAATACGAAAAATAAACTTTTTTTTATATAATCGCGAAAACGCTGTCCGTCGTATTCATGATGTCCCTGTGATACGTACACAAAACAGATGCGTAATGTAGAAGATTTAAAGATGTCAATAAAACGAGAACGATGCCATCGAGCGATGGATTTCTAAATAAAAAGATACAAATAATTCGACAACGGCGCCATCTCAGAATTTGATTTACAGCTATTAACCATATGACTTATCCGATAACTGTCGCCGGTGGTGTCATCCCACGATGCGCCCATACAAAATTTTATCTAAATTCGTGGCAATCAATCTTTTATTTATAAATAACTTTTTCTACATTAATTCTATTCATATTATCTTTAACAATGATATCAGATAGACGCGTTCAGAGCCTTTTTTTTAATTGTTTTATCTATTACCTCAAATTCGAAATTGTAATATTTTTATTATTGTTTCTTTACGTGTAAAGACCACAAACGCGACATGGCGAAATTGTGTAAACGCAAATAGGCCATGAATTAAAAAAGAAGAAGGGGTCGTGGTTCGAGTCACGTGACACGCAGACCAAAAATTGCGGCTTTTAATTTGAAAATTTTAAGACTCAAAATCGAAATCTCTATACTTATTATTTAAATTTTAATTACTATGAAATTTAATGGCTTATTTTTCACTGCCGAACCTACGATATTATACAAAGGCTAATTGATTACTTTCATAACTTCCTGATAGGATTCTGGACATATTTGGTGATTTGTTTTTATTTATATACGTATATTAATAAGGAAATGTTGTTGCCTACATGTTACATCAGGCGGTAAGAGCCCGCCGCGTGGCTTCGTCGGCTGCATGCG